CGTCACTTTGTCCTAGAGTCGGCAAGAGTGGAAGTGTGTGCTAGATAAATTTTAATCGCTACGCATCTCTTGGAATTTACTTCTTTACCTCAATATTTTACAATCACTATAATCTACAATGGAAAACCTTCTGATAGTCATTGGATTATGGGTAACGGTAAGTTCAAATTTTTTTATCCACCCGGGGGTAGGGGAAACACCACCTTCTTGGGAAAGTTTACGAGAAAGTTTAGGGGAGACCACTCCCCCTGGTTCTACTAACCACGCGTTCTTTGCTACTAACCACGGACCCTTCCCTGCTTATCTTTTCAGATTTAAATTATTAAATGCACCGAATTGCCCTTGGGAATTCCCCACATCACCGAATTGACCTTATGGGGAATTCATGGCTTATCCTCCTCTTATGCCTTGTTCCCACGGCGTGTGGATTGGCAAACCTCGAATCGCTCGAGGTTCGTACTTGTGGACTGGGGTCAGTGGAATTCCGATCAGTCGTGGCATTCCATTCCCACAGCGGTGCTTGGTTTGGCAAATCTCTCGGCAGAGATCGAGTGAACGGAGGCACTGACGCCGTGTGGCTACTCCCCCTTCCTTTGATGTGCGAACTATTTACCTCCATAGCGCGGGAAACACCAGTTGCACTTACAAGCCCACAAACCACATCGATTCTTCCCGTTAAGAAGACTGGAAATAACGCGAACCACGGACGAAACTCGTGGAAAGACAGGCCGTAGGAACGCGGCTTCAGCAAATGCACTTCTGTCTCATGTCGAAGGTCAGCCGTCAACTCGTCGGAGCCGGTGTGTATTGTCTCTTGCACCCACCAAAACTGATCTGTCTATTCTCAGTTCACCTATTGTTGGTCATCCTCATATGTATAAGAGGTTCTATGCAGATAAGATATACTAAAATAAACAGTATCGGCGGTAATCTTTAGTGAATTCATGACCCAAGGTTCTTTGTCAGATAAGATATGCTAAATTAAGCAGTATCGGCGTCTATCTTTAGTGAATTCATGTCAGATAAGATATGCTAACATAAGCAGTGTCGGCGGCTATCTTTAGTGAATTCATGACCCAAGGTTCTATGTCAGATACGATATGCTAAAATAAGCAATATCGGCGGTGATCTTTAGTGAATTCATGACCCAAGGTTCTGTGTCAGATAAGATATACTAAAATAAGCAGAGTCGTCGGCTATCTTTAGTGAATTCATGACCCAAGGTTCTGTGTCAGATAAGATTTGCTAAAATAAGCAGTATCGGCGGCTACCTTTTGTGAATTCATGATCCAAAAAGTACAATTTTTAAAATTTTGTCGCCAAAGTAGCTGTAGTGCAAAAAACATACAGTTGTGTCAAAGAAAAGTATGAATAGGTGCTGCTGAGAAATTTTAGGTAAAAGATGTCATGGAAATTGTTAGTATTAAAGAAATTAACCCTATACTGGAGGACTCTTTTATTTTTTAACAAAAATTGCGTAGGTTGATGTAAAGGATCGCAGCGAGGAAAATAATTAAGGAAAAATGATTTTAAATTTTATTTTCAACACAGTTTTTTAATTAAAATTAATTAAAAAATTGACTATTTAATCAAACTTTCTAAACAAAGAAAATTTCCTTCTTCAGTTAAAAAAATAGTAGTAAGTAAATTATTCAAAATCAATTGATAGAAGCCAAAAATGGTAAAGTTGTAAATATGAATCACTAGACAGTTTAGAATTAAATTCGTGTGTGTGTGCATGTATGTGTGCGTGCGTGTACTTAGATTTATCGTTTTCCTTTTCTATGCGACGTTCCATTTTCATAATTAATTAAATAATCTAATTTATGAAAACCAAATTTAACAGGATCGAGATAAGTTTTCTGTTCTTCAAGGTTTGTTGTTAATTAATGATTGATACAAAAAGGTTTTTGTTAAAAAAATAATAATGCTTATTTTATCTTTCGCAATTATTATGGCACTTGAAATGATTTATATTATTATTTATTTATTACGAGCTCCCGATTATAATATTTTGCATCATTATCTTTTGAATTTAATATTTTGGGTTGATAAATGGAGTTGAAATTATTAGATTTTTTTTCTGATTATATTAAAATTTGTGCATATTTTTGAAAGGAAATAATCGTCATTTATTTTGTGTGTTCGCCACAGCAGTAGAGTATCTAGTTTTAAAAAAAATTTAAATACTATTTTGGAGTTGGAAAAATATCAGTTAGACTTTTCAAACTTGTGCCCTTTACCATAATAACATTCATAAAAACAAATATTTTGAATACGAAAGTCGGATTAAATAAAAACCTTATGTCTGTTGTATATGAAATGTATCCTTCATTTGTTATTCTTCATGTTAGACTGCCAAGCCATAAATACTTTTTTCCCACTTCGCAGAATCACCAAAAAACAATATTATTTTTATTCCCAAAATGGAAAAAAAAATACTTTTGTTCCTAGTAATTGTGTTTCGGGAGCGAAACTGTTCACAACACAATACGCAGACATGCACGAGATTTGCATTTTTCTACTTCGACTTATTAGCATTCTTTACAAGCGCACAAGTCCGGCAATTTTTAATTCTAAATCCGGCTCCTCTATTCAAATGCCCTCTTGGGGATAATTTGAACACGATTCACGCAGTCAGACTGAAAACGTAAAGATGGATTTAACTGCCGAATGTCTACGTTTCGAGTGCGAAATGCAATAAAGAATTTCCTATTTTGGAACCATAAAAGCAGCCGTATGCCCGCCTCGTAAAAGTGTAAACAATGGAATTGCAAACGAAGGAAAATCGTATATTTCTGGAGTTATTTCCGATGCTGTTTCCGTGGTAAATCTAATTCAGGAAGAATGGGATACTTTTTTGTAGCACTTTTTTGGATTCATTTATTCTTCAGCAACATTTTCCCTTATGCCTTTCTTACTTACATATACGGCATTTTCCTACCCCTGTTTTTCTGAATTTCTTAAGGCTACACAGTACCCTGAAAATGACAAAAATATCGATTTTTTTGTACATTTTTAGATGGCCAATACTGTTAAGAAACTTGACTCCAAATTTTAGATATGATATGCAAATAGTTTTAAAGATATTTGAAGTTTTCTGAGTGTTATCAGTCTCAAAAGTTAACAGCTGAGGGGATGAGTTTCGTTTTCATTTTGAAGCATTTTTCCATCCTTAAAATTAATTAATTAAAATATTTTGTGAATAAATAAATTCCTTAGGTGAAATGGTTGTTATAACTTCAACGTTCACTACTCAAATCGTTTCTGTTTGTTTATATTCTGCGTTCTTTTCGAGTTCTCCTTACTACCTAACTGATAGTTATAAAAATGACTTTTTCAAGACCAATATTAATTCTCACGCAAAGTTTTTTTTATTTAGAAGCTTTGAAGTATAATATTATTGTTTTTTGCTCATTTTTCTGTTGAGAAAATGTCACGACCGAAACGTTCTGTAGTTGCTAAGAGACGTAATGTTTTGAAGAGCTGGAGTACTATTTACCTAATATTTCAAATAAGAAAAATATATTCAATCATATTGAGTTAAAATAGTGTTTTAGTGCCTTTTATAAGATGGGAAATAACATATTAAAAAATTAGAGCTCTACAAGCATTATTAGTTTCTGTTTTGTGCCTTTACAAACTTTAAATGCATTTTTCTAAGACTTTCATTTTTGGTGATGCAAGTGTTTATATTTCCCTAAGGTATTTTTTCTGTTCAAGATGGAGTCTTGAATTTTTTTGTAGATACTTTCATATATATGTACTATAAGAAGTAACATGGATTTAGGCCTGAAAGTTCTAGTTATTTTTTTTTAAATGCCAAAATTGATATTTTCAGAATTTTCCTGTTTTTTTCAGATTTTTTTACAAAAATAATTATTAAAAATTAAAAAAGACTCAGATCATTAATCACATGCTAACTTTTGTTCCAAAGAATCCAAGAAATATAAATCACTTGAAATAAAAAAAATATATTTAAAATTAAGTATTTTATAAGAGTTTAAAAAACTTTAAAAATTTCAATTTTTTAAATTTTAAAATAATAATTCTTGCTGAAATGACTTTTTTAAATCAGAATCTATTTATTAACATAATCTAAAAAAGTTATTAATTGTTATCATTGTTATTACTGTCTCCAAAAAAATTGAAAAAGGGAACTGTGTAGCCTTAAATGAATGCAATCATTAACTTAGATTCTACGTTTTTTTCCCTACTGTTGGTATATAAATCTTGCAAAGTGAACGGAAGGAACATAGAAAAAATGCCTTTAAAAATGAATCAATTTTTTAAATTTTAACTTTCAAAAAGTTGAATTTAGAAATTGGAGTAATGTTGCTTTGTATTTAAGATGGTCCTCACTTTGTTATGTTATGAATGATTGGAAAGTGTAGTGTTAACTAGAATGTCATTCTCGTGCAGATTCGAAAGTGTAGAGGGCCATATCTAACAAACAATCGAACAATGTAATAACAAGAAGAATCAACTAAGAAGGTATAACTTGATCTGGCTTAAAACCTAGCTGTTTAATAACTTTATATGCGAATAATATTCTTGAATGATTCCTTCCATAAAGATATTATAAAACTAAACACATTTTGTGAACAAGCAATGAAACAAGGGATTATATCAGAATATATATCTTAAAAATAAAATTGTGCAGTGTGAACGGAACTAAAACCAGCAACAACAACGACAATAACAAAAAACAACAACTTGGAGGAACAACGAGGATTTGAAACCAGGACGTTTTACATGCTAAGATATTCCTCTATAACTGAATTACACCCCCGACGTATTTGGTGAGCCAGTTTATTGGGAGCCAGATACGAGAGATTTTTTCTATAAAATAAAAATAAGCTGGAGGAGCGGGGATTTGAACCCCGGAACTTTCATAAGCGAAACGAGCGCTCTACCACTGAGCTACATTTCGACGTGTTTGCTGAGCCGGTTTATTGGGAGCCATATACGAGAGATTTTTCTATGATATAAAAATAAACTAAAGGAGCCGGGATTTGAAACCAGGACCTTTCACAAGCGAAACGAGCGCTCTACCACTGATCTACACCTCGACGTCTTCGCTGAGCTGGTTTATTGGGAGCCAGATACGAGAGATTTTTCAATAATATAAAAATAAAAATAAGCTGGAGGAGCGGGGATTTGAACCCCGGACCTTTCACATGCGAAGCGAACGCTCTACCACTGAGCTACACCCCCGCATCCAAAAGTGTTAGCATTTTATTATACTCAACTATTAAAATATTCGTGTATGTGAATAATGACAGATGCGAAAAGTTTATAAATATTTGCTTAGTAATATAAAGGAGAAAATACATTTACTCAAACGCAACGCATCTGCAACTCGCAGCTTATTAGAAATTTCTCGTTTTGGATAAAGCTTGTCATATAAAAATCATCTTAAATAATGTTTAGAAAAAAATATGTTAGCTTATTAAAAAGAAATTTAACTAAGTTCGCAATATCTCGGAGGGCGCAAATATAAAAGAAATTACAATAAATATTTACAAATTTCAGTATTATTTTGAAAAAAAAACTCTATAAAATACTATTTTTAAGCACATTCATGAACATTAAATAAACTGGCGACATATTTATGTTGCCTATCTCTTTAATTATAAGGTGTGCCCAAATGAAACGGAGACTACAGTTGCATGTAAAGAAATTTTAATAACAATATTCTAATTAAAGTTCATGTGGAACAGTACAACTATATATAATCGTCATTGACATTGATACACTGATCCCAGCGCATAGGAAGGGAGTGGACGGCTTCAGTGTAGAAACTCCAGGGTGAGGCAAACACCCATTCTCGCCGTCTTCTGATTCTCTGACAGATGCTTGGGCACTCACTGTGCACAAACTTTCCCATAACCGAGCTTTTTGTGGACTATGTGATGCACAGTTCCTTTGCTTATCGACAGTTCAACAGCAACTTCACGTGTGGAGATCCGACAATTCTGCCGTATGAGCTCATCCACAGCCGAAATCGTTGCACTGTTGGCCACAACGTGAGCCTGCCCAGTGCGTGGCAAGTCCTTGATGTTTATACGTCCCGCCTCATAACGCTGACACCACCAGAATATGGTGCACCGTGCGAGACACTGCTCTCCGTACACCTCTTTCATCCTGCGATAAATTTGTGAAGCATGCTCCCTTTCTGCGCGAAGAAATTGAATAACGGCTCTTTGTGCTGATCTGGAGGAATTCATCATGCAACGAACTGCGGAAACAACTCTCCAGAAATGAGGATATTGATGCGAAGCCGTTAACTACGCAGGTGCAACTGGGAATACACCACGCCATCTATCGGCTGACACATTAACTCACTGGGATTTCATACAAATTAGTTAAGGTCTCCTTTTCATTTGGGTACACCTTATAAAATAATATTTTTAAGCACAATCATGCACATTAAATAAATTATTGACACTTTTATGTTGCCTATCTCTGTAATTATGTCGTGTACACAAGGGAAGAAGGCGCAGAATTAAGTGCTTTGGCCTAGGGCCTAGAAATGTATGAATCCGACCCCCTGGTTTAAAGTTTTCTCTTGTTGACTTTCTCTTATATTTCCACAATATGATGCTTTCTATCTTCAGCGTCCCGAGTATTTTGACCTCTTCCTGCTTTACTCTATGACACACCCCGGACTTCAGAGATAAAAATCTCCGGTTTGCAGTTTTGATGTATGTGCGTAATAGAATCTTTATTGATTCCACACACACACAAAATTTGTAGTTTGTTGAAATGAATTTTAGAAGAATGAGTTGACAGACGCGTCCTATCATAAACTAGTGGCCTTTGACGACTTGATTTGAAACAATCTGGTTCTAATATGAATTAAAATATGAAGGAAAGAAATGTGACTTTTTAAAAATTAGTACAAAATAAGGTTTTTCAGTTGGGGCCTTCGCATTGAATAAGGTCTTTGAAGTTGGCTGAATATAAGATTGTACAAATTCTTCAAAGTTAACAACATCAAGTTTCACTGTCGCAAACCACAAAAAAACTGGGCCGTTAATGGCTGGCATTACCGAATAAATGTTTTATTTAAAAGGTCAGAAGTGAGTCGAATATTATTCATTATTAAAAGAAGATTAAAGTGATTTATTGGAATATTTGAGTTCATGTGAATAGAAAGTATATATGCATATGCAAGTTGAAAAGATGCGACTTGTTATATAAATCGAATTTTTACAAAAAAAATTATGCGTTCCCAAAGAAAACTAACAAATGAATTCCTGCTGACCGATTGTGTCCAAAATTTGAACAGATCTACAATTTCGAGGTCAAGACCCGTAGTAGATTTCATTGTTTGTGTTTTTGCGTGATCGCGTTCACAGACACAGGACTCAAAAGACTGCCAACTAGTTGGCGGGTTTTATCTAGAATTTAATACAGATATACAGTTCTGATGATAAAACCATAAGCCAAATTCCATCCTTTAGCTCTTTGCGTTTTGGAGTTGTCGCGTCTCTGTGCATACGAAAGAACAGTCAGAAAGACTTCCCTTTGAAGAATTTCGTCAAAATTTCGATCGAAATCTACAATTTTAGTGTGAAGACCGCATACTAAATTTCATCTATCTAGTTCGATGCATTTTTGAGTAATCGTGTCACTAGACAGACAAAATTCCAAAAATGGGAGTTCAAGACTTGGAGAAGTCTAAAACGTGTAGGTTCACCAAAATCTCGATTTTCGAATTTTTTTACGATTACCGTGACTTTTCTTTGTATATTTTGAATGCAAGAAATTAAAAAACTACTGGGGAATCATAAAAATTACCGATTGCGGCTCGAAGGACATTTGAGACCGAGTACAAGCTGAAGACAACCGGTCCAAGTGCTATAACAATCAAGAATGTGATTGAAAAGTTCGAGAGAATTGGTAGTGTCGATGTCTCGACACTTCAGCGATGTTTGCAGAATTTTGTTCTTCGTCTGCGCCACGTCATAGCCATTGATGGCAAGCATATCGAACATGCCATAAACTAAATCCGAATATCTGTAGTTACTTTTAAAATTTGAATAAAATTTTTGAACTAGGTAGTTTTTGAATTTTTTTTTTATTTTTTATTTCATATAGCTCAATAATTGTCACCCTGAATGAACGTAGTTATGCAATTAGGAAGCAACAGCCATTTTATGGATATTAGATACGTTAACCGAAACTGTAACTACGTACGTATAATTTGTAATCCATAATCGAACAAATTGCAATCGTTCCATAAGAGACTTTATATATTGCAGTAACTGATTTTTAGAATATACAACATTGGAATTTTTTACTTTCTGGTGTATGAAGTATAGAAAGTGAAGGTATTGTATTCATAAAAAATTTAAACTCCAGATTTTGATGAATCACCACGGTTTAGATCTCCCTGGTTAAATTTGGTACGAGGTTCTTATCAAAATTGAAGACTACCGGTCCCAGTGTTATAACAATCAAAAATTGTTGTGATTGAAAAGTTCGAGAGAACTGGTAGTGTCGATGTCTCGACACTTTAGCGATTTTTGCAGAATTTTGCTCTTTGTCTGCGCCACGTCATAGTCATTGATGGCAAGCATATCGACCGTGTCATAAACTAAATCCGAATATCTGTATTTACTTCTAAAATTCGAATAAAATTTTTAAACTCAGTAGTTTATGAAAATTTTATTTTATACAGCTCAATAATTGTCACCCTGTATACATAACCTATATTTTCGGTGAGAAACCTAGCCACCGAAAGCGGATAGTTTGCAGTAGTTAGATTGTTATATTAACGTCCCTTTTTGAAGCAACACGCGGGCTATTCAGGAACCAACGTCGTAATTTTGAATCGTGGTCATAAAAAAAAGGGTGACACCTGAGTTGGCACCTCCTCTCCAAGCTTCCGCGCCTCTCCAGCGAGGGGAGGGGGGGCAGACGTTTGACCACCAGGCCCACATCCCCGGGGAGCTTCGGTGGAATCGAGTTTCGAACTTTGAAACCGCCGGTGTGGAAGCTGAGACCTTACCAGTAGGCCATCTCGGCCTCTAAAGGGGAGGATTCACCACTCTTGCTATCTGAACTTTTTGGAACACGGGAAGTAACCAGCGGGAGTGGCCTCCCCTAAACTTTCTCGTATACTTTTCAAACATTTGTCGTTTCCCTTCCCCCTGTGTGGATAAAAAGTTCGAACCAACTGTAACCCAGAATGCAATGACTATCAGAAGGTTTTTCATTGTTGATTATAGCGATAGTAAAATATTGAGGTGAAGAATCATATTCAAAAAGATGCGTATGTATTAAAACTTTGCAATATTTATTTTTTTATCAAACTCTAGCAATGCGAGTCCGCGTGCTGAGAAGAAAACAGAATAGCTTGCGCATGCGCAGAGATTGCTTCCAGTACGCAAGTAAAACGAGACGCCCTAAATGTTTGCTTCCTTACAAAATCTCGCCGCCAGAATTGGTTTTTGGCAAACTGCCAAGTTTTCGGAGTGTCCCTTCTTTGCACAGGCATTTCTACCACTACGCATGCGCATGGAGTTAAACAAGTATGCGATTATACAGACCGACAGACAGTCAGCCCGTTGATGGATTTGGCCCAAAATTTCATACGGACCTACATTCAGGACGATAAAACTGTGTACCAAATTTTATCCATCTAGCTATTCAAGTTTTTGAGTTATAGTGTTCACATGACTTTGGACATACAGACAGACAGAATTCCCGTTGACGGATTTTGTCCAAAATCCTTGTCTCAAAATACACTTTGGAACATCCGTGAATGTCTTGCGTAATTTTTCGACTAAAATGGGTGGGAAAAAAATCTCTCTTAGAACAAATGCCATAAGCTTAGCCTTATCATGAATGCCCGGTGCGCAATCAGGAACTTGCACGTTTTTTGTTCATATTTTTATAACATAGAAAATGAAAAAATATGATGGAAAGTATCTTTCTCTTTTACTTTTATAGCCCGAAAAGGTAAAATAAAACAATTTCAAGTGCGCACTATTTACTTCATCTCAAAAACGCTAGTTTTCCTACGCCGCTACTTGTGACGTCACACCACACCATGACGGTT